AAGTTTGGATGACCAAGCCTTTGGTAGAGGAGGGCGGTGGGATGGGAGAGAGACCGACAGGAACAGGTAGACTCAGGGGGAAGGGGGGGTTGGTTGGGTTCGTAGGGGGGAGGGGAGGGGGGGGGATGTGAAGGGGGGAAGGGAGTGGGAAACTGCGTGGGCTGAGTGGAGGGGGGGGACCTTGAGGGTATACAGGCGTGAGCGAGGGCAAAAGGGAATGCGGGAGAGGATACGACCAGTGGGGTGATACAAGAGGCAATGGTTTGTGCGACCTGGGAAGACTGTAGTGATACCAGCTTGCTGCAAGGATCTTTGGGAAAGGAGGTTAGTACGAAGAGAAGGGATGTGAAGACCAGTGACGGTACCTGAGGGGAAGAGGGGACAGGGGAGGGTGGAGGTGTGCCGGCAGGAGATGGAGAAACCGGTGTCAGCACCAACAAGGGAAGTTGGAACGGGAAGGGGATTAAGAGTACCAGCGTCCCGGAGGACTGTCTCAGTGGCTCCACTGTCAAGGACGAACTCCAGGGTGGAGGGAGGTAGAGGCGAGGGAGGAGGTGGGGGGATGGAGCATTGAAACACACTCTCATTAATAGCAGCAGAATACATGGAAGGAGCAGGAGGGTCAGCCTGACTAAGCATGCCAACAAAGCTAGAATAAGGGAAGGGGGTGGTCACACTGCCAGCAGCAGAGGGGGCGGGGGAGGCGCCGAAGAGATGCGCGGCTGAGGCAGCACTCCCTGCAGTCCAAGCGGGGAAGTACTGCTGGTGAGATACCATCGGAGGAGGAGCTAGTGGCAGCTGCGTCTGGAGGTGAAACTGCTGCTGCAGCTGAGAGAGAAGATCTTGCTGCCCCTGCTGCTGCTGATGAACCCCTTGCTGCTGCTGCAGCTGCACCCCTGGCTGCTGCTGCTGCGGCTGCTAAAGGAGGGGAGAGGAGATGGCTTGGTTAGCCTAGGCGGAGGAATAGGGCTGGTAGAGGGGACTGGTACGCACCTCCTGGGGAGTGGGGTGGGGAGTGAGGGAGGACCAGCAAGGAGGAGTGCCAGAATTGCCACGAGCAAACCACTCATCACTGAGTGCCCTGAAGCACGTCTCAGTGGAATGAGTGGTCTGGCCACAGCGCTGACCCCGAGTAGGGCCATAGTGAGGGAGATACTGGCAGGGAGGGAAGGCCGCTGCTGCACCACGGCCTGCACCACCACGCCCAGAACCACCACGACCTACAGCTCCATTGCGACTACCGCCACATCCACCCCCGCTCCCACCCCTGCTGATGCGCGGGTCAGCGACTGCGGCGGAGGGTGAGGAATGGCGTAAGAGATCGGCCTCAGTGGTGATGATCCACTGAGCGACCTGGGCTGGGGTAACGTGCTTGGAGAGGAGCTGCATGTAGGCGAGCTTGTGGGCGTCGAAGGCAGGAGTCAGGCCCTCGAGGAGGTGGCAGCACAACACGGGATCTGGGTACGGCACGCCGAGAGTAGCGAGGCGGCGGGCGAGGTCGAGCACACGACGAGTGAATGCAGCTGCGCTGGTGGAGGAATCCATGGTCAGGAACCCGAACTCCTTAATGAGGGCGTAGAGGGTGGCAATGTCCTGCCAATCATAGAGATCGGTGAGGAGCTGCCACAGGTGGGAGGAGGAGGTGGGAGCAAGCTTCCGCTTGAGGGAGGAGGGGATGGTGGCGAGAAGGATGGCGAGTGCATGCCGATCAGCGACACGCCAGGCGGTGATGTTGGTGATGTACAGCTGCTGTCGGGTGGTGTAGGTAGTGAGCTCCGCCTGGTGCGCAGTGTAGGCAGCGGATGTAGCATCAAGCTTGGTCTTCTGAGTCTCATAGGTCAGCTGCAGGCGGAGGTGCTCGGTGAGGCTGCTGCGATACGTGTGGATGGCGGTCTCCGAGCTCTGCGGGTCGCTGATGTCCGGGGCAAAGGTGGGCGGATCGCCAGGGGACTCGGGAGCATCACCAAGATGGTCGGGTGCAGGGCCCTCGGGAGCGACGGGCGCAACAGACTGAAGGCCGCGCTCCTCCATGAAAACAATAGCTTTGAGATTGAAGCTGCTGACTGTCACAGAGAGAGGAGGACTCACAGCGATGGAGTGGGCATAGGAATGCCAGTTGCAGCAGTGTTGTCCGGCAGCAGCTCAAGGGCATCCACAGTGGCAAGATCCACGGAAGAATCCGAGGACGCCATACTGGAGGGTGGGGAGGGGGAGGAAGGAGGGAGGAGGAGGAGAGGGGGGAGAGGAGGAGGGAGGAGGAGAAGCAGGGGGGGGGAAGAGGAGGAGGAGGGAGGAGGAGAAAGGAACAGGTGCGCGGAACGCAGCTCTTAAGTCGCCGTAGGCGGTTAGCGCAAGGGCGGATGCGGCGTGGGGCGACGCGACCGGGGGAGACTGTGGAGGAACGCAACGGAAGTAGCGCGCGACGAGGGCAGCGCGACGAGAGCGATGCGGCGGGAGCAGTGCGCAATGGGAGCAGCGCAGGACGAAAGGAGCGCGCGACTTTAGGAGCGCGACGGGAGGAGCACGCCGGGGGCAGCGCACAATAGGAGCAGCGCGCTACAGGTGCAGCACAACGGGAGGAGTGTGTGACGAGAACAGCGCGGCGGGAGCAGCACGACAGGAGGAGCGCGCGACAGGAGGAGCATGCGACGGGAGCAGCGCACGACAGGAGGAGCGCGCGACGGGAACAGTGCGACGAGAGCAGCGCGCAACGGGAGCAGCGCGACGGGAGGGGCTCGCCGGGAGGAGCGCGCGAGGAGACACGCGGTGCGAGGGGCGCGAGGCGGATGCGGGAGAGGAGGGGATGCCGGAAGGGATAGCTGGGTAGCCTGAGGGCGGGTTAGGGCTGAAGAGCGAGGAGTGGAGGAAGGACTAGGCCGTGCTAGTTAGGATCGACCGGGTGGCATGAGCCATTGGCTCTGAATACCATGAGAGAATAACATTAGAGAGAAAAGTGTTTACTAGAAAGGGAGCCAAGAGGCTCTTTAGTACAACCAAGGAGAAAGGAAAGATTGGAACGGAAGGCACTCCTATTGGCTACAATAGTGGCCAATGGGAGAGGTAGGTTGGAGGGGAAGCAACCCCAAAGTGTGGTGGTTGCTGATTGGTGGAGCCTTGGGACCATTCGGTTGGAAAGTGCCAACCAAAGGACCAAGGCCAAATCCAATCTTGACCAACCAAATTGTGGTTGGTGATCCCAACCAACAACCCCCCAATAACTTAAATGTCTACATACAGCGTACGGCATTCCTGCAGTTAGATTGCGCTGTCAGATTTTAGTAGTAGCCACCTTCGCGGCATTCATGATGTCGTAACGTTGTGATCGGTCGCGTGGCGGGCTTGCAGTTGAGGAATGCGCGCATGTGTCCCGCGTCAGGGCTTTGAGTTGAAGGAGTTCCACACGGCCAAGGGCGAGAACAGGACGCCGGAGTACCTCGCCATGACCGTGAGCGCGAGAGTGGGTGCGTGGGTTTGACGGGTGAGAAAGGGCGCGTGTATAGCGTAACGTAGCGTGGCGACGCGATGCTCGTCATGCGCTTATGCGCACGGAATGCTTAAATGGGGCGAGCGATGCGACGATGGGTGTGCAAGGTCGGATAGCGGGTGTGCAAGTGTGCAAGGTTTGATAGCGGGTGCATTGCATTGCGCATGCGAACACGGTGAGCGCAGAAACCTATTTGCGCTGGTGCTTGTCTCTCACGTCTCCGCGTGCTGTATCTCGACCAGCGGAGTCACGCGCTGGACTGTGGTGCATTGCACATCAGTTGTGCCGCGTGCCTCTCCTTTCTCCATCTTGCACCACAGGGTCACATGCCTAGGTGTGGTGCATAGCGCGGGGGCGCATGGAAGCAGCAGCATCTAGTGGGAGGTCACATGGCTGATTTGTGTTCGTGCATGCATTGGGATATGCTTCGTAGAGAGGGGAGAGGCACGCGGGGGAGGGGGACCTCCTCAAGCAGCTCATGGGCACGGGCGAGCGGGCAGATGCTGCCAGGGAAGGTGAGAGGGAGGGGAGAAGGTGAGAGGGAGGGGAGAAGGTGAGAGGGAGGGGAGAAGGTGAGAGGGGGGGAGAAGGTGAGAGGGGGGGAGAAGGTGAGAGGGGGGAGAAGGTGAGAGGGAGGGGGAAGGTGAGAGATTTGGAGAGGGTGAGAGGGAGGGGAGAAGGTGAAAAGGAGGAAAGGAGGTGAGAGGGGATGGGATAGGATAGAGGTGAAGGGGATGGGTAACGGAGGAGGGTAGGAGCCTTGATGACACAGACAGAGGGGCGAAGGTTAGAGAGGAGGGGGGGTGGTCAGGTGCATAGGTTGAGGGAACGAGGCCTGCATGTATAAACCTGCATCCCCCCAAGCCTGTTGTTCCTTGCCGTTCCACGTCCTCTTAAACCCCTCACCCTTCCTTGCTGCTGCCACTTTTCTTTCTGTTTCCACCTGGCAAAACTATTTAGTATGCCCTCTAACTCCTAACCACTTCCTTGTTTCCCTTCACTCTGCATGCAGCCAGCGAGGCTGTTTGACATCGACACACCTGGCAAGGGGACCTCACCCTCGCTGGAGCATCGGATGGCCGGCTGTATCTGGCAGGGGGACCTCACTCTCGCTGGGGGGAGTTAAATCCGGCCCTAAAGTCTCCAAGTGCTGGCCGCCCTAAAGTCACCGAGTGCTGGCCGCGCGTGCCTGGAGGTAAGTGCTGCACTAGAGGCGAAGCTCACTTGATCTCAAGCTCATCTCACGCTCCCAATCTTCAAGCTCATGCCAACCAACTGCCTCGTTGGTAGCTATAGCCAGGAATGCAGCCATCATGACTGCACCCGCACCATCTGCCTCGAGAGGCCTGTCATATGCTGCACCATGCAGCCATCATGGCTGCACCCGCACCATCTGCCGTATGCCCTTCCCCTGCCATATGCCCTTCCCCTGCCATATGCCCTCCCACTAGTAGTGCCCCCCTGAGCTGCGTGTTTCTTGCTCAGCACTGCCCCTTATCTAGCTTAGGGTGTGTCAACTTATACATATGTTTTATACACAGAAGTTATAGGCTAGATAGGTTTGTGTTCTTAGAGGGTACAACACTAAACCTATGCATCCCCTGTACTGCCTTGTTCTAGCCACTTTGCTACTGTGAGATCTCAAGCTAGTGCAGCCGTGCCTGCTGGGTCTCAAGCTAGTGCTGCCGTGGCTGCTGGGTCTCAAGCTAGTGCTGCCGTGGCTGCTGGGTCTCAAGCTAGTGCTGCTGTGGCTACTGGGTCTCAAGCTAGTGCTGCTGTGGCTACTGGGTCTCAAGCTAGTGCTGCTGTGGCTACTGGGTCTCAAGATAGGGCTGCTGTGGCTACTGGGTCTCAAGCTAGTGGTGCTGCAGCTGCTGGAAGGGAATGACGGGCACGAGGGAGTTCCCAAACATGGAGTCGCAGGGCTTGAAGTGCCCCGTAGCGCCCATCTGCCTCGCTCTCTGAACAGCCGCCCGCTTCGCCCCCAGCATGCGCTGCACCTCCTCCCCGTGCCGCTGCTGCGCCTGCTGGGACTGCTGCGACTGCTGGGACCCACCCCCTCCCGCACCACCCCCTCCTGTGCCCGCCGCCCCTGCTGCACCCCTTCCTGCTGCTGCCCCTCCCCCAATGCTGCTGCCAGCAGCAGCAGCGCCAGCTCCAGGTGCGGATGCCTCAGGCGCTGCAGCGAGAGGAGAAAGCGGGCGGATGTTGGGCGAGGATGGGCGCATGCCAGTGGCTATCGCTGCTGCTGATGGTGTGATGGTGATGGTTGGGGGTTGGGGGTAGGAAGAACGGAGGTCAACGAGTGAGAGGAATGGCAGTTCACAACAGTTTTGGATTCGGCTGTGTGGGTTGAGGTGATAAGACTGCACGAATGAGGTGACTCAGAGTAAAAAAGTGACTTTTGAGTCGACTCAAAAGTCACCTCAGAGTATATACATGCAGAGCATTTGCAACCTCAACACTAAAAAACGCTCAATCCCCTACCCCCCACACACACGCCCCTCCTCCCTCCCCCCTCCCCACACCCTCCCTCCTCCCCCCACCTCCTCCCCTAAAAACAACTGAATCCAATCGCTGGCTTAGCCTCACATGCAGCTGATGTGGCAGCGGTGGCAGGGAAAGAGAATCCAGGGGGACCAGCAACACCACCGGCGGCTAGACCTCCTCCACTGCCGCCAGCTGAGCTGGCCAATGATGCTGACGTGGCCGCGGATCCCGCTGCTGACGTGGCAGCATCATGGTGGTCCCGTGGCTTGGTGTGGTCCCGGTCCTTCTCGTCTGGATAGGGACGACTGGGGGATAGAAAGGGTCGAGGGGAGAAGACGGAGGTAGGAGCGGGAGAGCGGGAGTGTCAGTGAAGGGGAGAGCGGGAGAGTGGGAGAGCGGAAAGAGAGTAGTGGTGAGGCGGCGATGATGGAGCAGGGGCGAAGCGGAGCGTGGTGTGAGCAGCATCACGCGGCTGCTCCTCTTGTCGTGACAGTCCGTTTGGGGATACTGTTCTGGGCTCGCATTCTGGTGACGTGCTTCGCCAGCGCATTGCCAGGGATGATGAGAGGAACGCCATTTCCAGCGCAGGGGAGATGGGGCTGAGAGAACGATGAGTGAATCTGACATGCGCTGATCCGGTTTGGGACATCTCTGTAACGAATCCTAGGTTATCGATGCGATCGTCATCATTTAATGCGCTCATTCACGCGCGATGCGCTGATCCGTGTCGAGACGTCTATACGAATCCTAGGTTACTACCAACTCTATGAACGAATCTAGTCGCACCCGCGATGCGCTGATCGGCGCCGCCTGACGTCAGAACTTGGCCGAGCGTCAGCCATGGACGGACTTGGACTTGGAGGTTGAAACAAAACTCGCGTTGTGCTGGTCGTCAGCGGTATGTTCGAATGTGCGCAAGTATGGAGCCGCAGGAATCAGAGCGGGGAGCCTTCGGGGGGTCGGAGCCGGGTCTTTCTCGTTCTGCCCCTCACTCGGAGGTTGAAACAATCCCCGCGATGCGCCGGTCGTGCGAGTCGTAATCTAGACCGTACGATGGAATGATGGAGTGATGGAGCCGCAGAATCAGAACGGTATGAAACCGCGTGCACAGTGTCCTACGTGCTAATGGTCAACATATGATGATGGCGGTCCTACATGCGTATTTAGAATGCTACTACTAGGTACGGTTCATGGGTTTTTGTACTGAAGGCCCCCGAATGCCCACAGCTAGTAGCATAAGAAGGTGAGAGGCGATTGACGAGGAACCGCGATTAGAACGCGTCTATTAATGCCGTGCTGAGTCCGTGAATACGATCCGCTCACAGTGCGCGTCTCGCGTAAAGAGGATCCGCCAGCAGTTAGATTAGGTCTTCACGCGGCTCGACGGCAGGAGCAAGTAGCAACGAGCAACTAACGAAGCAAGTCGGTTGTACGTGTACGACGCGAGAGCGGAACGAACAGGTGGACTTCACAACGGCTGCGCCAGTAGCGATACGCGATGAACGACGGTAACAACTGGAATCGAGCAAGCAAACAGTAAGTTATTCAAGTTAGCCATAAAAAAGAACCGTTTCCTCTATATAAAGCTCCCCAATTTCTAGCAAAAAGCTAAGGGCGTCATTGGATTAGATCCCCAAGGTTTTGTGGCCATTGCGGAACAAAAGAATAGCTTCCATTCCATCTGTGCAAGAGCTGCATAGATTGGTTGGTAGCGCATGCCAGCAGTGAGCCATGGTGCGGACATTGGTCAACGCACACATCATACTGGCCAATGTTTTTGCGCCAAATCATACTGGTGTCTCCCCCTCCATGCGACCAAACGGCCGTCAAGGGATAGATAAAAAAACCGGTAGTGTGACGATTCTTTGCTGATGCAAGCACAAAAACGCGATGTGGGGGAATGTTATGCACTGATGGTGGCGCCTGTGTTATTGTCATGGGGTAGCTTGGCGCCGTTGCTATGTGGAGTACTGCACGATCCAAGGGTGACCTGCCATGCCACACATGATGGATGGGGGGCGGATGGGGGGCAGATGGAGGGCAGGTGTGGGCAGATGGGGGCGAATGGGGCGAATTGGGGCGAATGGGGGCAAATTGGGTCGAATGGGGGCAAATTGGGGCAAATGGTGGGTGCTTTGGAATGGTGGATGAAAAAGGGGAGATGGGTGATGCGGACGGACTGCAGTCACTGTTACAATATATCCTATATCTATAGCATGTAGTATGTTAGTGTTGTAGGGTAGATGAAGGTTGGGGTTGGTTAGGTCAACCAACCCTTGACCCCAATTCTCGAGAGTTCCAACAATGTTGGCCAACCCAACATTATTGACCCTCCTATAATTGGTGGTCAACCTTCCCAACCATTATTGGTTCACCCAATAATGGTTGGGTTGGTCAACCCCTCTTTGACCTAGGATTGGCTCCCTAGGTACAAAGCCTTGTATCCTCCCTCTCTCAATTCAACAACTCAACTTCTTTCAACCACTGCAGCCTTCGCATCACACGACCAGGGCAGTGGAGGGAGCAGGGCAATGGGGGGAGCAGGGCAATGGGGGGAGCAGGGCAATGGGGTGAGCAGGGCAATGGGGTGAGCAGGGCAATGGGGTGAGCAGGGCAATGGGGGGAGCAGGGCACTGGGGGGAGCAGGGCAATGGGGGGAGCAGGGCAATGGGGGGGGAATCAGTTCAGTGGAAGGCGACTTGGGAAGGGGGGAGACCCAGGCACAAGCATCACCAGCACGGTTCACCCACCAGCACCGCCCACCCAACAAAAAGGCTCCCACTCTCCTAGGGATTTAAGGCCAGCAGTGAAGGTAGGTTTAGGTGCTGGCAGCCCCTCACCGAGCAGCTCAAGCGCTGACATCCTCTTCTTGGGGTCCTTCACGAGAATGCTCCTTATTAAATCCTTTGCCCCCTCGCCCACGTTCTTCCACTTGGCGGATTTGAACTGCAGCTCCTTGCGCCTGATGGCGTCGAAGATGCCCTCGTTGCTCGCCGCCCAGAAGGGCGGGAAGCCGCACAGCATGATGTACAGGACGATCCCCGCCGACCAGATGTCCGCCTCGGGGCCGTACGAGCCGGTGAGCACCTCTGGGGCCATGTAGTATGGCGTGCCCACAAACTCAGTCAGGGGCTCGCCTGCAAGTAGATGGGGTGGTGGGGGGGAGTGGGGGAAGAGGGAGGGGGAGAGGGAGGGGAAGGGGAAAGGGGGAAGGAGATGTGCAGGTGAGCTCTGTGTGCTTCGTGGCATGGCACTCACAGTGCCTTCGTTTCCCGTAAAGGTGCAAAGCCGCACAGCATGATGTACAGGACGATCCCCGCCAACCAGATGTCAGCTTTGGGGCCGTATTGGCCAGTGAGGACCTCTGGTGCCATGTAGTAGGGCATGCCAACGTCCAAGTGATTGACTTCCAAGTGATTCACACCGAAGTCAATCACTTGGACGTTGGCATCGTGGCCGTTCCTCTCCAGCGCATCAGCCATATCCTCTCCAGCTTCACCAGCACGCCTCGCGGTGCCCCACCAAAGCCAATAACTCTGATGCTCGCATGCCCGCATGATCGCATGCCCGCATGATCGCATGCCCGCATGATCGCATGCCCGCATGATCGCATGCTTGCATGATCGCCCTTGTGCATCAGCAGAATGTTCTCCGGCTTCCCATCCCGCTTTGCGATGCCCCATCGGTTGCTGCTCGAATCACATACCCATGCAGCGCTCACCATGTCTGAGCTTCGTGGCCACACACACCCAAGTCAATCACCTTGATGCTGGTGCCATCGTGCTTGTGCATGAGCAAGACGTTCTTAGGCTTCGCACCTTTATGCAGGATGCTGCTCGTATCCCACACCCGTGCAACACCCACCATGTCTGAACCGCGTAGCAACACCGAAGTCGATCACCTTGATGTTGGTGTCATCGTCCTTGTGCATCAGCAGCAGCAGCAGCAGCAGCAGCACACTGTTCAAGCCCGTATCTAAACCTCGTGGCCACACCGAAGTCGATCACTTTGATGTTGGTGTCATCGTCCTTGTGCATCAGCAGCAGCAGCAGCAGCACAGTGTTCAAGCAGCACAGTGTTCAAGCAGCACAGTGTTCAAGCAGCACACTGCTCAAGCAGCACACCAGGGCTTGCGCTAGGCTTTTGGGGCACACGGCAGATCCCGGGAACTTGCCAGAGCCACCCGTCAGAATCCAGGTTCGACCCCCTGTTCTGTCACAAGTCACCCGTCAGAATCCGGGTTCGGCCAGAAAACCACCCGTTATGTTGTCAAAATCCGAATAGTTACCCGTGAAAAATAAGCCCTGCCGCACACCCATGTGCCTCTCACCATGTCTGCACCGTGTGCCTCTCACCATGTCTGACCCGTGTGCCACTCGCCATGTCTGACCCGTGTGCCACTCGCCATGTCTGACCCGTGTGCCACTCGCCATGTCTGACCCGTGTGCCACTCGCCATGTCTGACCCGTGTGCCACTCGCCATGTCTGACCCGTGTGCCACTCGCCATGTCTGACCCGTGTGCCACTCGCCATGTCTGACCCGTGTGCCTCTCGCCATGTCTGACCACTCGCCATGTCTGACCCGTGTGCCACTCGCCATGTCTGACCCGTGTGCCACTCGCCATGTCTGACCCGTGTGCCACTCGCCATGTCTGACCCGTGTGCCACTCGCCATGTCTGACCCGTGTGCCACTCGCCATGTCTGACCCGTGTGCCACTCGCCATGTCTGACCCGTGTGCCACTCGCCATGTCTGACCCGTGTGCCACTCGCCATGTCTGACCCGTGTGCCACTCGCCATGTCTGACCCGTGTGCCACTCGCCATGTCTGACCCGTGTGCCACTCGCCATGTCTGACCCGTGTGCCACTCGCCATGTCTGACCCGTGTGCCACTCGCCATGTCTGACCCGTGTGCCACTCGCCATGTCTGACCCGTGTGCCACTCGCCATGTCTGACCCGTGTGCCACTCGCCATGTCTGACCCGTGTGCCACTCGCCATGTCTGACCCGTGTGCCACTCGCCATGTCTGACCCGTGTGCCACTCGCCATGTCTGACCCGTGTGCCACTCGCCATGTCTGACCCGTGTGCCACTCGCCATGTCTGACCCGTGTGCCACTCGCCATGTCTGACCCGTGTGCCACTCGCCATGTCTGACCCGTGTGCCACTCGCCATGTCTGACCCGTGTGCCTCTCACCATGTCTGACCCGTGTGCCACTCGCCATGTCTGACCCGTGTGCCACTCGCCATGTCTGACCCGTGTGCCTCTCACCATGTCTGACCCATGTGCCACTCGCCATGTCTGACCCGTGTGCCACTCGCCATGTCTGACCCGTGTGCCACTCGCCATGTCTGACCCGTGTGCCACTCGCCATGTCTGACCCGTGTGCCACTCGCCATGTCTGACCCGTGTGCCACTCGCCATGTCTGACCCGTGTGCCACTCGCCATGTCTGACCCGTGTGCCTCTCACCATGTCTGACCCGTGTGCCACCCACCATGCCTGAACCGTGTGGCGACCCCAAAGTCGATGACTTTGATGTTGGTATCATCGTCCTTGTGCATGAGCAGGATGTTCTCCGGCTTCACATCCCGGTGGGTGATGCCGTTGGAGTGGCAGTACAGCAGCGCCTCCACCAGCGTCTGGCACACCAAAGCTGCGTTGCGCTCGCTGTATTGCCCCCGGAGTTTGATGCGGTCAAAGAGCTCGCCACCTTTACAGATCTCCATCACCAAGTGCACATGCTGGGGGTTTCACAGGTGTTAGGGGGGGAGGGAACGGGGGAGAGGGGGGATACAGAGCGATGATCGGGGTGTTTCACATCTCTCTGTGCGATGCCGTTCGAGTGGCAGGCAGTACAGCAGCGCACGCATCCACCAGCGCCTGGCACACCAGGGCAGCATTCCTTTCCGAGAATTGGGCTTGATGCGATCAAAGAGCTCGCCCCCTAGCTGATCTCCATCACCCGGTGCACATGCTGTTGGCGTTGGGGGGGAAGGAAAGAAAGAGAGTCATGGAGGGGTGTGGTGGAGTGGTGGCAGTACAGCAGCGCATGCATCCAGCAGCATCTGGGACAGCAGGGCTCCATTCCTTTCCGAGTGAAGTCCCCTCAGCTAGATCCTATCGAATAACTTCCTGCCCTTGCAGATGCACGTGCTTAGTGTTTGGATGAGGAAAGCATGGGAACCAGGGGTGGGAGGGGAGTGGGGGAGGGGGGTTGGGGAGGGGTTGGAGTGGCAATACAGCAGAGGCGCATTAAGGAAGGGGCATTTGCGTTACGTGGGTTGCTGCATGCCGCATTCGTCTGTGAGGTCAATGATGTTCATATTGGGTTGACCAGCAGAACAGGAGACTCGTTATGCACTGTTCTTCCTGTTGGTATAACTTTATTTTTCATTCTCACATAGCTGTCTTCAAACGTCTCATAGGGATAGATGATGTTGGGACGATCCCTTAGCTGCTGCATCAGCAGAGAACGGGGGAGCGGCAACCACTCGGATATCCTTCCCACACAGCCTTCTCCTTTCTCGTCATCCCTCCTCACCTTGCTGTCCTCAAACGTCTCATAGAGGTCGATGATGTTCGGATGGCCCCTCAGCTGCTGCATCAGCTGCACCTCCTTCCGCACATCGTCCGCATCCTCGGGACACTGCAACCGGGGGGAGGTGAGTGGCATTGAGAGCACGATGGGGGGAGTACATGTCATGTCACCATGCTGTGTCACCATGCTGTGTCACAGTGAACACACGTCATCAAGAGCAGCTGCTGCATCAGCTGCATCTCCTTCCGCACATCGTCCACATCCTCGGGGGGGGCACTGCGACAGGGGGGAGATGAGTCACATTGAGAGCACGATGGGGGGAGCACATGTCACCATGCTGTGTCACCGTGAACATGCAATGGGCAGCACGCCACATCAAGAGCAGCTGGCAGCTGCTGCATCAGCTGCACCTCCTTCCGCACACACTATCCGCATCCTCGGGAAACTCCTAGGGAAGGGAGGAGGTTGAGTGGCGTCAAGAGCATGATGGGTGCGGGCACATCCCACGCTCCCAGATTCTTGAGTCGACTCAAGAGGCACCTCATTCCAAGCCACCCACCCACAGTCCCACACTTCCAGATTCGCTCACTCTCTCCCTCCCCCACTCCCACCATCCTTTGCATTCACCAGGGTCAACCCCACTCCTGTACACCCCCTTAACGTTGCTATTAACAATGTCAACCCTATTCTGTCTTTCATCGCTCGCTTAGGGTTAACCCCCTCCATCGCCTCAAGAGCTGCCCATCCCCCTCCCAGCATGCCCAGCGCCCATCCCCCTTCACCCATCACCACCCATGCCCAGCGCCCATGTCCCTTCCCCGATGGCCAGTGCCATTCCAGCTCTCTTCTTTCTGCGCCCCCCTACTTTCTGCGCCCCCCTTCTTTCTGCGCCCCCCTTCTTTCTGTGCCCCCCTTCTTTCTGCGCCCCCCTTCTTTTCTTCCCTAGCAACTCCAGTCAGCAGCCCTCTGGACGAGAGCCAGGAGTAGTTAAAAACTCGTCAGGTTCGCTGCTCACCTGAGTGACGCCGGGAGGAGAATAACTAATGCGCCCCACCCAGCGGCCCACCCAGCGGCCAGCCCACGCTTGCTAGCCCATGCATGCGAAGTTCGCTTCTTGCTGCTATGGATGGGGATGGCTCCTTGCTCCCTAGTCCATGCATGCATGCACCACACACACACACCCGTCCCACCCCTCGTACCACACTCACCTCATCCGCCTCCTGCTGATTGTCCTGCACGCCAGCAGCGTTGCACCCCCTGTGATTCCAAGCTGTGCACGCACCACCACCACCCCCATCCCGCACTCCCCCATATCCCACCATCCCACCACCATCCCCTTTCACGCCAGCTGCGCCCCACGCCCAACTCCTCCTCTCGCCTTGTACGTCAAACACCTCGGTCACACCGCCAACCCCCCTCCCTCCCACGCACCGCAGTCCCTACTCCCATGCACGTACCACAATTCTCTCTTTGCTGATGGTCTTGCACGCCAGCAGCGCCCCAGTAATCCTATTCACACACGACCGGATCACCCCGAACTGCCGGACCCCGAACTGCCCGACCCCGAGCTCCTCCTCCTGCACGTCGAACACCTCGGTGACCTCGCGGTACGGGTTGCGCAGGATGAAGTCCGTGTGGCGCAGGTTGGTTGCCCCCCTGTTGCACGCACCATCCATTTCTCATCCCACACACCACTAGCCCGTTCCTTCCCATCCCAACCCAACCCAGCCCAACCCAACCCTCCCACATACCACGATTCTCTCTTTGCTGATCGTTTTGCATGCCAGCAGAGCCCCCGTGACTCTATTAACACACGACCGGATCACCCCGAACTGCCCGACGCCAAGCTCCTCCTCCTGCACGTCGAACACCTCGGTGACCTCGCGGTACGGCTTGCGCAGGATGAAGTCCGTGTGCCGCAGGTTGCCCCCGTCCACCCACGACGAGATGCGCCGGTGCTGCGCCTTCTTCTGTAGCGCCGCCACCGGCCCCGCTACAGCCACCGGGCCGGATACGCCTACTGGCGCTGCTGCACCCACTGGTGCCGCCACCATCAGCGGTGCTAGAGCAGCCGTTCCCCCTGCTGCTGCTCCTGCTGCTGCTGCTCCTGCTCCACCCCCCTCTTCTCGACCTAATCTGCCCGCCAATCCCTCACTCACTCCCTCACTCACTCCTCGGCTCACGCTACTCCCCTCCCTCCGAAGTCCCGACCGCTCTTTCACCGACCCTATCCCCGCCACCCCTCGCGCTCCTCTCCCCACCCCCCCTCCCCCGCCTCCCCCCATTCCCCTTGCCCCTGCACTCCCGGGGGGCGGGCCTACCGCCACCAGCTTCACCTCCCTCCCCTCGTCCCCGCTATCGTCAGCCGCGATATCGACTCTTAACTGCAGCTTCTTCAGCCCTATAGCGGTTTTTCGGGGGGACCCCGCGCCTGCAGACCCTCTAGGCGATCCCGCCGCGCTCCCCCTCTCGCTCCCTCTCTCGCTCCCGCGCTCACTCCCCCACTCGTTTCCCCCCCCAATCCCCAGCCGCTTTCTGTGGGCGGATATCGCGGCGCTGACGGCGCTCGAGCCGCTGATCGCGCCGCCACCTGGCGCGTCGCGGCCTGTAGCCGCGGACACGTCAGACATGGCGGATCCCGTCGGCGAGCTCCGCTCTGTCCCCTCGCCGTCATCCTCCTGAACGGGGGAAGCTATCCCCCTTCCCCCCGCGCCAATCCCGCCCCCGTCCGCTTCCGCCCCCGCCCCCTCCCCGTACCCATGATCTCTTCCTGCTGCCCCTCCCCCTGCGCCCCCTAGCCTGCCCTTCGTTAGAGGCATGGCGGCGGAATAAATATTGTGGTCCACGCTCCCGATGCGCCTATGGCGGCCCTTTCCGCCTCCCGCGGCAGGGCCGCCGCCCTTTTCCATGTGGCGGAGCACCTGCCGCTGCCCCACCTCGGGCGCGCGGAGCCGCTCCATGCGGCTCCCCTCCTTCCCCCCTGCAGAGGACGAGGTAGATGCGGACGGGGGGAACGCAGCGGGCGGCCTCCGCGCGCCCGGCTCTTCCGCGTCCCCTCCGACAGAGCCCGCCCTCCCCGCGGCAAAAGCTCCGCCGATGTCGGATTCCCCCCCGCCGCTGCTGCCGCTGTGCTCGGCGGAAGACCGCCTGCGCGGCCTCTCCGCGTGATTGTGCCCCGCGGACGCCGCCGCTCTGCCCTTCCCCTTCTTGGGCTTCGCCTTGGCGTTCGCCAATGGCGCTTTGACAAGTGGCACGGACACCTCACTCGCGTCGTCGGCGTCTTGCTCCGAGTCCGTCTCCTCCTCCGCCATAGCGGGTACAACGGGCTTTAAGATGGGCTCTATTATCGGGTTTTCCACCAGCTGAAACCCGCAGTTCGGGCAGAACTGGTACCGCGGCTTGCAGTACGCAGCGCCGCTGTTGATCGCCGCAATCGCCGCCGCAATTTCCGCCGCGCTGTACGGCGGAAAGTGCGTGCTCGCTGCAGGCTTGGGCGGGAACCGAGCCCCGTCCGCATCCGACGGTATGGAGTCAGGCGTGTTGACCAGCGGCAAGCGCGGGTCGACGGCGCTATTAAGGCTGCTATTACTGCTGCTGTTGTTTACCCCATTCCGTTGCGATTCCAGCGTCGGCTGTCTGATCGCTCCTCCTAATCCGCTTCCGCTTCCGCTCCCGCTTCTGCTTCTGCTTCTGCTGACGCTGCTGTTTTCCGAATTGGAAGGAGGAGCCTTGTGCGCACCGCCTGAACCGGTAAGACTAAGTCCGGCTAACGCGGGCCGCGCCTCGGCGGCGACATTATCGGCGGACTTCCGCCGGCGCCGCCCTTCTTGGGACGAATAGCCGCTGGAGCCGCGGCCGTCTGAGATGTGGCCGGGCGACTCCGCATGGTTGGCGACGCTTTGCGGAGAAGCGTTGCGAACCGGTAACCCTACGCCGCTAGAACCTGCATGCTTGCTGCTTCCGCGCTCGATTATGCTTCCCCCGAGTCCGGTTCCCCCGACTAGGTTAAACTCCTGCAGGCGCAGCTCGAGCGGACTGACGGACGAGACGGATGCGCGGCGACGGCTGCCGCTCTTATGCGGGGGGAGGCCGGATGATTGCTCGGAGTGGTACTGCATCTTAAGCGATGGTGACCATAACCAATGTGACTTATGGGGGGGTCAACAATGAAGTAAATTGGACCAGGCGCTCGGGGGACTTCAGGAATTAGCAGTGACAATCGCTTTAGTGGCGATGGAGTGTATCGTTGGGAACGTTATACGATGCAACGCGCGGCATTGCAGGGGACGACGCGAAACGGAGAAAAACCTAACCTTGCTCGCGAGTTTAGGAATTGAACTGGCAGTAATTTAACTTTAGGAAAGCGACCAGCTCACTGGCCGGAAACGATCACTTTTCTCGACGGCGGGAGAAACTGGGAATAAAAAGCGCGGGAAACTGATTTCGACAACAAGCGCCTGCAACAACTACGCCCGGCAGTCAGCTCAGAATTAGGGTTGATGACGAGGAGGACACCAAGGCGAATGAAGGCTGGAGAGACACCAGCACCAGCAACCTCGACACCAGCTAACCAAGCTGACTTCTCAAGTCGGGCTACTCTCAGACTTTGTAGTTTTCATCGACCTTGCTGCAGGGTTGACTACACTGTAACAAACGAACACTGACTTCGGAAATGGCTGCCCTTGTCAGTCAGACCTGCTGCCTGGTATTTTAGGAGGGGCGTGGAGCTGGGATTGTTAGGTGGACTGGACTCTGTGATAGCTGGCTGTAGGCCAACCCCAAGGGCCAGCCTGATGACGCGGTATGTTATACTGTACTTTACTATTTGCCAAAACGATATTCAGTTGTATGCAGAACGGTTCGAGACGGTGCTACCTTTTCTGCCCGCCGAAGTGCCGAACTAACATGCAGACCAAAACGGACCGCGCTTTTTGAAGAGACATCTGTCCGAACCAGATGAAATTATGACACGGGGACCCTCGCCTGAACCTCGAGATGTCCAGCCAGATGACCCGCTGGCTCGGGAATCGCGGCGTTCGGGTGTATGGTAACTTGAAAGTTTCGGGGTATGCGATTTTTGGCGAATAAGATACACTGTGGCTTGTGCTTGAAAGTTACTGCCAGGTTTGGAAATTGGAATCTCCTAGCGTGGTAACATGGAGGTTGATGCTGACCAGTTCGGCTCGGGGAGGTCTCTCCCTGCCCGAGGAGCCTCACGGGGCTTATCCCCGCCGTCGTTTCATGATGAGAAAACCTTCAACGCCACGTCGCCGTACGTACGTACGCAGTGGTACGTTCTGTACAGACATAACAGCTGCTGGGGAATCTTGAAGATTGCGGCACTTGGCCGCGTGTGGGCAGAGAAATGAGGTGGGTGAATCACCTGGCGGCCATGGGTGGAAAGCTGGCGACCCATGGGCCGCGAGCGACATATGACACGTTGTCTATTTCCTCCCTGGCTTCCAGGGGCTGGTCCAATGGGTGTCAACGGGAAAATGAGCTTGGATGAGGATGAACTTGGCTCCGCACCGACTCAGGGCGTGGTGTAAATGTTCAGTTTAGCACGGTTGAGTGAGGTGAACATGGTTGAAGTAGGGTTGGAAAATGATCTCTGATACCCCTTTACTGAAGGTGTTGACAAAACAACCCTTTTGCTATTGATACCCTATGGGCCATGGATGTCCAACCGCATGACATGCGCTATCAAAACAAGGGCATGGCACAGTGGCAAGTACAGGCCTACAAATAAACCATTAGTCGCCTTGCACAGTTATAAATCAATTGTGAATGTGGTAGGTGTCAACGGCTAAAAACGACCACGATCCTGACCAAAAATCCCTAAGGTATCTAGATTTAAGCCGTTGCCGCTGCTTGTTTGTTGCGCTGCACTCTTCTCACCACCTCTTCCATAGCAATATCAAAGGCGTCTCTCCTCTCCGCCATCGGATACATGCGAGGATGGTTGTACACCACGGAGGGCATGACTGTTCGTATAACTTTCAACCGCATGCGACGCACCTACAGCCATCGAGCAAGAGAGTGTGGAAAGGGAAGGGAAAAGGAGGAATGGGGATGGGGGCAGGAAAAAGGGGTGGTGTGTGCAGTGGGGAGGATGGCAATTGGGTGAAGGCACAGGGCTTGCAAAACAGGCCGTCACGCGAAGATTTAACACATAGAGCAGCATCAGCATGCGGCAGGTGCGCAGGGGTACATGAATGGAGGAGCAGAAAGGACGAGGTAGACGCTCGACAGTTACAGGCACACGCAACAGTTACAGACGCGACAGTTACGTACGCAACACTTGCATATGCAACAGTTAAATACGCAACAGTTACATGCTCGACATACAAAGCACTGCATACTCACTCGAAACAATTATATCTCTGCATACTACGAACGTAGCAAAACAACGATGCACACACAGGTACAAAGAATCAACCCTTCCCATCCTTACCTCTTTTCCTGGAATCTTCTGGAGCTCCTTGATGACGTCAACCTTGCCTGCCAGCACAGCCTTCTCAGCGAACGTCACCGAGTAGGTGCTGCTGTTGCTGGGCAGGTGCCACTTGTACTGCGAGGGGGGAGGTGGGGAGGGAGGGGGGGGGAGAAAGGGGGAGGGAGGGGGGAAAGGAGAAGAAGGTCTAGCCAGCACTGCCTTCTCAGCGAATGTTACCGAGTAGGTGCTGCTGTTGCTGGGCAGGTGCCACTTGTACAGCGAGGGGGGAGGGGGGGGGGAGGGAAGGGAGAGGAGCGAGGGGGGGCAGGGAGGCTGGGAAGGCAGCACTTCCTTCTTTCTCATCAAATGGCACGGAGGAGCTGCTGCTGTTGCCGGGCAGGTGCCACTAGTTCTGCATGGACAGGGAGGGAGGTTGAGGGGAAGGAGGGGAAGCAAAGGTTACAGAGTAGCCAGCACTGCCGTATCATCAAATGACACGGAGGAGCTGCTGCTTTTGCTGGGCACGGGCCATTTGTACTGACAGACTTGGGCATGGCTTGAAAGGGTTGGGCATGGTTTGAAAGGGTTGGGCATGGTTTGAAAGGGTTGGGCTTGGTTAGAATGAAGTTGTCATCGACCACACCTTGGATTGCACGAAGCAGTCGAGGAACACAGGGATGCACCCCGCCATTATCGCTTCAGAGGCGGCTTGACTGGTGCCATGCTCATGCCACAAAGGTAGCATAGCGTAGAGTATGAGTGGAACCAATTTGTGAGAATTCTCAAAAACCAAGCTCATGTTGTGGACGTAGCATAGCGTAGTGTATGAGCATGTACGAACACAGAGCGCACAACGAACCACACCACAGTATGCAGAACCCTGGCACACACAGACGCACACCTCGGCTTTAACAAAGCTGTCGAGGAACACGGGGATGCAGCTGGCCACTATGGCGTCAAAGGCGGCTCTGTGTGCACCCATGTGGCCCGATGGCATGACTCTGGCTTGAGTGCCCACAGGCTTGGACTCTAACGTACCTCAGTTTGCTCCAAGGTGTCAACGCTGCTCACCTCAGTTTGCACGAAATTGTCGAGGAAGACAGGGATGCAGCCCGCCACTATGGCGTCAAAGGCGGCTCGGCGCGCCCCCGTGTGGCCCGATGGCACGAGGCAGAAGGCGGCATCGGTGAAGAGGTCCATGAGCACCTCCGGTCGAGTGCACAGGTCCTCCACACACTCCAGGTACCTGTGGACGGCAAGGAGAGAACACGGTAAAGAGAGGTCACAAGGCGCAAGGCGGCATTGGTGTGTTTATCCATGAGGACCTCGGGGCGAGTGCAGAGGTCCTCCACGCACTCAAGGTATCTGGTGGTTGATAAGGGGAGGAGGAGGAGAGAAAAGCATATTTGCAAGGAGAGGGGAAGAGCAGAAGGCAGCATGGGGTGACTGGATCCATGAGGACCTCTGGACCAGAACAGAGCAGAAGCAGAGGTCCTCCATGCACTGGATATGCGATCGAAGTCCCAGGGGTCGTCGTCACTCATGACCAGTGATTGGATTGGACCTCTGGGCCAGTGCAGAGCAGAGCAGAGGAAGAGGTCCTGCAGTCACTGGAGGTACATGTGGTGATTGATACAGAGAGGAGACGGGGAAAGGGTACCTCGTGGTGGGTACGGAAGGGAGAGCACGGAGACGCTAAGTGAGGAAAACTACGCGCTTGACGTACCTGGTTGGTTGGTTCGTTGGTGGTTGGCTGGTTGGTTTCCTGGAGTCCATTATTGTAACCATGCCGTAACATCACCATACACTCCCCGGCACGCCTTGAAGGGCTTGCACTGCTTGGCCAGCGCCTTGTTGTGCCTGTGCACACACATGCAGGGCGTAAGATACCTTGCTCTGACGCCATGTCCATGCATCAACATGCACACTCACCGGCACGCCTTGGCGGGCTTGCACTGCTTGGCCAGCGCCTTGTTGTGCTTGCTGAACGCGTCTCGCAGCGACGCAAACGCCACCAGCGATGTGCGCCTGTGCGACTCGGCTATGCGCTGCCACGTCTGCCAACAGATGGTGGTGGATGAAAAAGCAGGAGCGGGTTTTAAGAGCTCTTAGATGGCAACCAAAAAAAGGGGAACAAACAACCTGCCGATTGCTCCACCCTCGCTACTATGTTTCTCACCCTCGCCTTGCACCTTCTGAGCTTCCCGACTTGCTCTCATTACTACCTCTTTCAGCTGCATCAGTAGCCCCCTGTTTCCCCAGCTCTCTGCCTCTTACCCAGCTTCTTCACAGGCTGTGCAGTCTCGATCTACATTGTCGTCCTTCTCCCAGCTAGGAAAGAAGAAGGTGAGAGGGGATGGGGGGGGGATGACAACGTCCGGTGGCCACCCGACAACGAAAGGAACCCCTTTCGTCCCCACAAACGCTAGCCCTTGCTTCCTACCTTGTAGTCCTTCTCCCATCGCGGGTGAAAGAAGGTGAGAGGGGGGATGCCGACCTCCGTCTCCTCCCACAGGTTCGCAGCCAGCACCAGCTTGGTGACCTGTGGATGGAGGGGCGAAAGAGAGGAGCGGCAACAACACGAATCACCCTGGGTAGAATTGTCTCCGTCTCGTCCCACAGGTTTGCAGCCAGCACCAGCTTGGTCACCTGTATACTGTGGGAGGGTAAGTCGACTGTTATGAGGCACATGACACGTGGAGGGGGAAGGCCGACCTCTGTACAGGCACCAGCCTGGCCACCTGTACAGTGCGTGATGGGACGACAAGGAATGAATGCAGTGAGACGCATCGACCCAAGGGACAAGGGAAGGGGGACTGGGTGACGCATTGGGACTGATATGACAGGGGAACAGAGAGGGAACAAGGGACAAGGAAGGAAGCCCTGGTTTGAAGGACGAGCACAGGATGTTTAAAGAAAGGCATGCTATGATGACGAGTCGGGTGTGCGATACAAATGATAGGAGAAAAAAGGGAGATACCTGGGGAGAAACAGCACCTCAGGAGTCACATGTCCCACCTTCCTTCCCAGATCAAGCATATCAACTCTCCCACCCCTGCATTTCATCTCCCCCTTCTCACATGCTTTACCCCCAACTGGCGTGCACCCCCACCCCCCCACTAACCCCATCTCCCTCTCACGTGTTTCTATCTCTGGCAGCAGCAGCAATCGGTTGCCCCACTGGGAAAAGTCTGACCTGCAAGAGTCCCACACACGAGCCTCGCCCCTCCTAATCACATGCTTTAGCCCCCCCAACCCCCACTTCCCTTTCCCTCCCCCCTCCCCCTCTCACGTGTTTCATCTCAGGCAGCAGCAGCAGGCGGTTGCCCCACTGGGACCCCTCTGTCCGCCTGAAGTCCCACGAGCCCTGCCCCAGCACGATGAAGTGATCCGCTCCATTGCGCTTCTGCACAGGACAAGAGCAGCATGGAAACAGCAGGCTCAAATCCCACGAGCCCTGCCCCTTTTGGACCCCTCTGACCGCCTCATGTCCCACGAGCCCTGCCCCAACACGATGAAGTGATCCGCGCCGTTGCGCTTCTGTAAAACATAGAGAGAACGAAGGGGTCCAGGCAAGACAACACAGACATAGGCATCCATTCCTCAATGCAAGTAAGCTCAGATACAGTGCTTTGAGACACTAAAAACGCATCAAGTGTTGAGGACCCCGCTGGTCAGCTTTAGTCCCATGACCCCTGCCCAGAAATCTGAAGAGACCCGCCCCGTTGCACACCTCTGCATAGAATGCAGTGCACATAGACGCACACGTGCAGGTGCAAACTCCACAAACCCTGCCCCGTTTTGACCCCTCTGACCATCTCAAGATCCACGAGGCCTGCCCCAGCGGTACACGCAGTGATCACATCCGTTGCACCTCCGCACAGCAAGAGACAAACATGGGAGGTTTAGGCTCTCTGTTAGCCCTTCCCCACTGAAACCCATCTAGTCCCACAGACCCCAGCCACAGCACTATGAAGTGATCAGCTCTGTTGCACCGCTGCACAGAAGGGGGCACACATAAGCTTAGGTGCAGGCTAAGGCACAAAGGAGTGACTTGACGTTGGGGCAGCACGCACACTCATCAACCCAAAGTATGAAGCTCTCTCGCCTCAGGCCAGAGCACAGGGCCACAAGGCCACAGGGCTACAGGGCCACAGGGCCACAGGGCCACAGGGCCACAGAGCACAAGCCAAGTCAGAAGAGGGCACCTTGAAGTGTTCTCGCTGCATGAGCCATTTAGTGAGCCCATCGTGCATGCGGCCGCGGTCATCAAGGGACGCGTTTCAGCGGGGCGTGGACGCGTTTCAGCGGGGCGTGGACGCGTTTCAGTGGGGTGTGGACGCGTTTCAGCGGGGTGTGGACGCGTTTCAGTGGGGTGTGGACGCGTTTCAGTGGGGTGTGGACGCATTCCAGCAGGACATGACAATGACGCACCTTGCGTGTTCTCGCCGCATGAGCCACTTGGCCAAGCCATCGAGCATGCGGTCACTCTGGGCGAAGTCCCAGCGGGTGACGTCCAGCGAGGCGAGCACAGAGCAGAGGCCAGCACAAGGACACACACATCAAGCCAAGCCGGGACAGTGCACCTTGAAGTGCTCTCGCCGCATGAGCCACTTGGCCAAGCCATCGTGCATGCGGTCGCGGTCGTCAAGGGAGGCGTTTTTGGCGAAGTGCCAGCGGGTGACGTCCAGCGAGGCGTAGAAGGGGATGAAGAAGAGGTCCGCCCTGTCGGGGTCGCTCGTGATGCACTTGTACGCCTTGCGCAGGCGGTAGTGGAACACCATCTCCAGCGCGTACTGCAGCGACAACACAGAGAACAGGGAGGGAGAGGGGGGCGGAAAGTGTAGAAGGGGATGAGGCAGAGGTCGGCTTTTTGGTGGTCGGCTCATGATGCACTTGTACGCCTTGCGCAGGCGGTAGTGAAACACCATCTCCAGCGCGTACTGCAGGGAGAGGGTTCGCCGAGAAAGGAAGTGGCTTAAGAAGATGGCGCTGAAATGAGGTGGTGTTGAAATGAAGGGGTGTTGAAATGAAGTGGTGTTGAAATGAAGTGGTGTTGAAATGAGGTGGCGCTGAAATGAAGATGGTGCTGAAATGCACGCAGCGGTGGAAACACCCTCTCCAGAACTATTCTTGTATGGCTCTCATGCATGCAGGCAGTGACTACTGCAGTCTCAAGTGAAGCACGCACATGTATACGCATATGTCGTTGTCAACGCAAACATGCTCAGCACATACCATGTTCATCTCAAGCCAGCTTATGTTTGAGGCACCTAAAAAATAGACAGTAAACACGTTCAGCTCACTGCATGCATACCATGTGTGTCTCGAACCAGCGGCCAGACGGCAGAAGCAGCTTGCTGTTGCGGATCCGCTTCCCCAAGCCATCGTTCTGCAGGGCCATGGCGGCATGGGGGCATGGGGGCATGGCGGCATGGGGCCATGGGGCCATGGGGCCATGGGGCCATGGCGGCATGGGGGCATGGGGGCAATGCGAGAGACTTCAGTCAGCAGCCAAGCACAACGCACAGCGGAAACACTTGGTGGGTCTCGTTTTCTTAGATAAGTACAAAACAAACCACCTCCAACTCATGCATACCTGCAAGTGCGAGCAGATGGAGAACTACAGTACCAGGGTGCCGCACTGCACCACCAATCCTCGATTGTATGCCTGGTCGAGCCAGCTTGTGCACGAACACGGCGTGCCCCCTGCACCCCGCCACTGCATGCATTCTGCCATGCGCTGCACCGACACATAGCATGCCCTCTCAACGCATGCACCCTCGCACCTGGAATTGCGGGCAGATGGAGAACAGGGCAGCAGCGCGGCGCAGAAGCAGTTCCTCCTCGAGCCCGCGGTTGCACGCCTGGGCGAGCTTGCAGATGAACACGGTGCGCCCCCTGCACCCCTCCGTGCCAACAAGCATACATAGCCACAACCAACCACCCATACCCTTTAATGCCTGGCTACCTGGAAGTGCGGGCAGATGGAGAACCAGGGCAGCAGCGCGGCTCACTGCTTTACGGGCCCTTGGTTGTACACTTGGGCCAGCTTGCGAATGAACACTGGATGCCCCCAACACCCCTCCGTCCTTGCTGGCATACACGCTGCACACACACACCCAGAAACACCCATACCTTGCAAGGCACACACCCACGCACCTGGAAGTGCGGGCAGATGGAGAACCAGGGCAGCAACGTGGCGCACTGCTCCACCAGCCCGCGGTTGTAGGCCTGGGCCAGCTTGTGGATGAACACTGTGCGCCCCCTGCACCCCTCCACGTCCACTGGCTCCCCCACTGGGTCTACTGCCACTGCTGCTGCCGCCGCTCTCTGGGAGAGTATGGGAGGGGGATAGAGGGGAGAAGCGGCTAGTCAGAAGCAAGGAGCAACGCTGCGCGCCCCACACTGGGGCACTTGTCCACACTCACTGGCTCCCCCACTGGGTCTGCTGGCGCTGCTGCTGCCGCAGCTTTCTGGAGGGAAGGAGGGGAAGGGGAAGATGTTGTAATGTATCTATATCAACAACATACATAGCCTAGAATAGGGGGTGTGGTCATTTCACTTATTCGGGAGTTGTTGGTTGAGTTCACCAACCACATTTTGGGTTGGTGAAGATTGGAAATGATCTTGGTCTTTTGGTTGGGTTTTTCTAACCAAATGGTCCCAAGGCTCAACCAATCAGTAACCACCACACTTTGGGGTTGCTTCCTCTCCAAGCCAACTCTCCCATTGGCCACAATTGTAGCCAATGGGAGTAGCTTCCCTTCCAACCTTCCCTTAGCTCCTTGCTTCCACTATAGAGCCTCTCGGCTCCCTTCCTATCTCATTCTTTTCTCTCCAAACTTGACTTCCTTCAGAAACGAAAGGAACAAAGGAAGGGGAAGGAAGGGAGGGGGAAGGAAAGGAGGGGAAGGAAGACAGGGGGAAGGAGCTTGCTTCGACTAAGGGAAAAGGAGTTGCTGCCAGTGCTGCGGCTTCCTGGGGAGGGATACAGACAGGGTGAGGGACATGGGACGGGGGTAAAACGCGCGTGCAAGCGAGTGATGAGGAGGTCCTGCTCACCACTTCCTTTGCAGCCACTGATTGCTGCTCCGACGAGCCTGCACTCTCCCCAGAATCCTCACCACCACCGCCGCCCCTCTCCCCATCATCTCCGCCACTACTGTCGCCGCCAGCACCACCAGCACCACCATCTGCAGCAGCATCAGCACCCCCAGCCCCTCCGTCCTCCTCCCCTCCCCCTCCTCCACTGCCGTGCGCGCCCTCCTCCTCCTCTTCCTTCGCCTCCTTCTCATCCTCCTCCTTCTCCTCCTCTTCCTCATCATGGCGTTTCGTCCCACTGTTCTCACCGTCCGCCTTCTCCCCTTCCTTTCCACCCTCCTCCTCGTCATCCTCCTCGTCCTCCTCCTCACCGTCGCTCTTCTCCTCACCCTCGCCCTTCTTCTGGCCTCCTCCCTCTCCCGCTTCACTGTTCTCCGCACCCTCGTTCTTGCCCCCTCCTTCCTTCTCCCCCTTCTCCTCCGTTTCCTCCTTTTCCTCATCCTTCTCATCGTCCTTCTCATCGTCCTTCTCATCGTCCTTCTCATCGTCCTTCTCATCGTCCTTCTCATCCTCCCCACCTGCCTTCCCCTTCTTCCCACCCTCCTCCTCTCCCTCCTCCTTATCATCATCCGCACCCTCCTCATCCCCATCCTTCCCATCCCCATCCCCGTCCTCCTTCGCTTGCTCTACACTCCCCTTCTCCTCAACCCTCTTTTCTTTTTCTTCCCCCTGCCTGCCACCGTCCACCCCCCCAACCCCATGCACATCCCCACTATGCGGCTCCGTTTCGGGATATTTCTGCTCATCTTTTTTGAAAGATGCCTGCTGCTCCCCACCGTGCCCTGCTTCTCTCCCTATCTCCCCACCCACAGCGCCGGCAGCACCAGCAGCAGCAGCAGCAGCAGCGGCGCCAGCACCATCAGCAGCATCACCAGCGTGACTGCTGGCTGTTTGTTCACGCTTCAGCCGGTACGGGAACGGCTGCAGGCACGGACGCAGACACAGACACGGGCACAGGAGGGATAGAGCAGCAAGCGGGTCTTTAAGTTGATTCAAAAAGGGCTGCAGTGGCGCCAGCGTGACCGCTGGCTGTTTGACACTGATACTGGAATGGCTGCAGCAGGCACAGACGCTACGCCCACAGGAAGGAGAAGAGCAGCAGGCCCGTCTTTGAGTCCACTCAAAAAGATCGGGAGCCTGGATGTTTGCAGCAGGAAGCCAAGGCAAAGCGCGCAGGAGACACGAACAGACGGATGCAACTGGCAAGGCTGCTCCTCCCCCCCTTTCCAGCAACGTGGCGTCAAAGTCGTGGGGTGCTTTGCTGTGCCCCGCTGTGCCCCGCTGTGCTTCGCTGTGCTTCTCTGTGCTTCTCTGTGCTTCGCTGTGCTTCGCTGTCCTTCGCTGTGCTTCGCTGTGCCCTGCTGTGTCCCGCTGTGCTTCACTGAGTTTCACTGTGCCCCGCGTCCTGGCCTCACCCAGTGACTGACTTGCTTTCCTTGCCTAAGTTCTCTATAAGGCGGCTAACCTGCCTGTTGCACGCTGCGCCACTGCACCTGCTGCTGACTGTCCCACGTCACCTGCTGCTGGCTCCCCTGCTGCTGCGATGCAGTGAGAGAATGGCGCCCCTGACTGGCCAGTGGCCAGCACCTACAACCTCACCTTGCCTGCCACACAAGACATGTCCTCACATGCTGGAAGCCCTCCTGCTGCGCCGATGCAGTGAGGGCGTGGTCCCCCTGACTCGCCAGCTCCAGCAGCCTCGCCTGCTCCCCCTGGCTTGCTGTGGCTGGAGGTGGTGGTGGAGGGAGACAACAGGACGAGTAGATCCAGATAGGCAAACTTGGAGGAAACTCAGCCTAACAGCTGCGGACTCTAGCGCATTGTCCCAGAATCCCCCTCACTGGACCCCCCGTCTCCTTGCCCATCTCCCCTCCCTCTGTGCACTTACTGTGAGTGCTCTGCTGAGCGGCAGGCTGAGCTGTGGCCTGTGACGCGGGCTTGGCCTGCGCATGTGCCACCTGGAAAACGGTTGCGTACAGGAATACACACGAGGGAACGAGAAACAAACTGAGCGGTTTGCTGAACGACTGGCCGAGCTCTTGCCTGTGCCGCGGGCTCCGTCTGTGCATGTGCCACGCCACCTGACTGACCTACAGTTGCGTGCAGGCATTGAACGATAAACGAAATGAGTGCTCTGCTCAACGACGGGCTGAGCTGTCTCCTGTGATGCAGACTTGATCTCTGCGTGTGCCACCTGGTGAACAGTTGCGCAGAAGAAGTTGCGTGCACCAGCACGACAAGAACTGAGAGGACATGGCATGGTCAGGCTTGGCACGCAAAGATGAGCCGGACACCGGACGTGGCATGCTGCTGCGGATTCGACACATAAGATACGCCATATCAGCTGATACGTAAGGTTGCTTCAACATCAACGCCCCGCACAGGTGGCTCTTAGAACACAAAACGCATGCGTCTGTAATAGAGCTGCGAGCTACGCTCATATTAGCCCCCGCCAGCCGAGCGTGAGGGCGCATACATCCAAGCGTGAGGAGTCTATTTTTTAGGCGCCTCAAAAATAGACAAGGGCGCATACATCCAAGGAACAGTCGCCATGATTCCAAGCGATTCCACCTACGTTTTCTGTCGCTGAAACTGCTGGACCAACCGTTCCGCCCTCCGCCATGTTCGATCCGCCTGCATTTGCGCAGAGAGAAGGAGAAGGAGGCGAACAAGCGTCAGGGTGGAGGCATGGCATGATGCACGGCTCCGACAGGGACAAGGGGAGACGTGACAGCAAGGGATAAAAGGAGGATTCTGCGACGAGGGGAGAACGCCACGTGGCTCGCTCTCGCGGTCCTGAAGTTACAGTATCCAGCCTGCCAGCGGGCATTGCCGAGCCACATCACCTTCTCGTCAGGGACGGACACCCGCATTGCTCTGGACGAACAGGGCCCGCATGACGCATTGTGCGTGTGGCGGCGATCACGAGTGGGGCTTCCCGGCACGGGGCACGAGGATACAATCCCGCTGATAGCTTTACGGCAAGAAGGCTCACTCTGATTGGTCGGACGGGACGGTCTCGCGAGCATGACGATGAAAATGACGACTGCGACGGTGAGCATGGCGACCTGTGCGACGAACTGTCTTTGAGGGCCCTCAAGCACTTACTGTAATCAGTCGGACGGCCCTCAAACACTTACTCTCAACGGTCGGACGGGACGGTCTGGCGAGCATGACGATAAGAATGACCGCTGCGACGGTGAACATGGCGACCTGTGCGACGAACTGTCGCCGCTTCTGCGCCGCCGATCGCGGAGCGAAGATGGAGTCCGACTTGCGCTTCGCCTCGTCGTGGTCCGACCCGTCGGGCGCCTGCCTTCCGCCCGTCGCATGCATTCGTCGCACGTCCATCGCTGCGACTTCGCGACACTTGTAACGAAACGATTAAGAGAAACGCGACGATATAGTGTATAGGTTTCTTCGCCCTTCACCGCATCGTCAGCGGCGAATGGCGGACACGCGGAAATGACAACGCGGAAGCCTCGAGAAGGGGGTCAGGAAGGAAGATAGAGGAGAGGAATGAGAACCTGGGAGAAAGGAGACAGGTGTAAGGAATGAACCTTGGGAGTTGGACTTCCGTGTGAGACGAGGGAATCTGGAATCTGGAAAATGGCGGGGTGGAGGGAAAAGCAGACTGGCAGGAGGGACGAGGGCCTATTCTTCACCTCATGTCAGATGGGAAATCAGGCCCTGTCTCGAGAGAGATTTCCACGCGTGGGGTAAATCTGATGGTCCGAGTCAGATTACCCCAGCAAATTCGACACGGATCCGGCTGCGGAATGGGCCCCAGAAATTCTCCAACTGGTCGCGATTTGCCCAACTTTGTTCGCCAATTGGTTTCGCTTCGGTTTATCTGAAGAGTTGTAACTCGTTCCTCCGGGCCTTTCGCTGGAATTCGCGAAATAAGCCGAGAATACAAGGTCGGGTTACGGGCTGTAACACTATGTCTATCTACAGCCCAAAAAATTCGAACTCCACGTGCATCCTCCAGACTGCCTACCTATTTAGACACCAGCAACCAAACATTCCTGATTCATTATTAGGTCTAGAGTTCAGTCTCTGCCTTCACAGACTGTGGCCCAGGCCGCGTCTCGCGCTGGTTTCCCCAGGGTGGTTTAGGAACACAGGGAAATCATTTGCCGCCGGCGTTGCCATTTTCGTTGCTTTAGAACTTCACTGAAAGAGACGCCTGCCAGCATGAGTCAAGAGGAGCAAAATGCCGGCGAGGAGTCCGTTTCTGCAGTGTACATGCGGGTACGCAATCGCCGGCGTGGATTCTGTGCTTCGAGGCGAGGTCTCGCGTCGTCTAGGAATAGCGAGAGGGGGCGATGTGCATAGCCTCCTCTGTCATGGACGTGTATGCGATGTGCGTAGCCGCATGTCATGGACGTGTATTGCTCGCCCGTTCATGAATCTGGTGCTGCCTTGTTGTAGAATAGATCGCGCGCTTCCATAGAGCGTACGCATCCCGTTTCCGTGCAGTGCCCTTCACAGTCTCTCGCGTGCGCACCCCTTTCAGCCACTTACTCGAGCCGCGTACAATCTTCATAGCCCGCTGGGATACTCGAGAGGAATGAAGGCCTCTTTGTTTCGCCTTTTCCGAGTTATCGCAGAGGCTCGTGTGTGACAGCTACAGAGTGGAACTCGGGAGTCGATCCGAAAGTCCCGCGTAGGTGCACCCGGTTCCTTTTGCAAAGGCTCATGCAGCCCGTTTTGATTTGATTCTATCAGCACCGGCTTCTTCCCCCCCACCCACACCCCCCCTCCCCCATCCCCCAGTTTATTATCAGAAGGAAGAGGAGTGGAATCCCATGGCGAAGAGGACGAACAGGGAGCGGGAGTACCTGGCTCACACCTGCAAGAGGAAGAGCTGAGTTGGGGGATGCTCATTTTCCATCTGTCACCTGCCACCTGTCACCTGCCACCTGTCCGGCTGACCTTGTTCGCATGAGCAGGAGCGGCAGGAGCGGATGCTGCTGATGCAGCGGAATGACAGGGAGTGGAAGGAGCTTTAGACTGACCAAGTAAAATGCGTTGATTTATCCCCTGTCACCACCAGGAGCACCAGGCGCGGGTGCTGATGAGAGGGGAAACGGCGATTCACCCCCCTTCACCAGGAGCTTTAGCCGTTGGATTGAAGAATGAAAGGTCGGAATGGGCCCCCTTCATCATCAGGAGCGCAGGGGGGGGAGCTGATGGGGAAGTGGTAGAACATGGAGCAGGAGGTGATGGGGAAGCGGAAGAGCATGGAGCGGGAGGAGCTTTGGACCGAGTCTAAGGCCTTTTCCCCCTTGAAATGAGCAGGAGCGGCAGGAGGGGAGGGGATGCTGATGATGAATTGAAGAAGCCTAGAGCGGGAGTAGCTTTGGATTGACTAAAACACATGCATGGTAATTTACCCCTTTGAAATGAGCAGGAGCGGCAGGAGCGGAAGCTGATGATGAAGCGGAAGAACCTAGAGCGGGAAGAGAAGGAGGGGCGCCCAGGAGCGAGGCAGAAGCTGCGAGGGGCAGACGGCGCTGCTGGTGGCGCTGGTGGTGGTAATGGGTATCAGGGGAATGGCGGTGGGTCGGAGTACCGAGCCTCCGGGGGTCAAAGAAGGCCTTCCTGTGGGCCTCTGCCCGATGGTACGTGGAGAGAAGTGGAGGAAGAATGCACGGATGGATGGAGGGAAGCCATGATGGGAGGCCAGATGGTGGTGACGTGAAGCCAAGCAAGCTTTTGAGTCGACTCAAAAGCAGATGGTGGTGACGTGAAGCCAAGCAAGCCACGCCCCTCCTTCCCCATCGGCCTCATTCTTCCTGCAAAGGCTTCGCTTGGGGAGGCAACGTTGAGCCGTGCAAGGGGCGACTGCCCTGCCCTGCAAGGGGCGAGGGAAGGGCCCTCACATATTCTCCTCGCCTCGCCTCCTTCCGCCTTCTCTGCGTTCCAGGCTGGGTCGAATGCCGTGCCCTGCAACGGGCGAGCCCAGGTGGTGAAGGCGCCTCACATATCCGTGTCACCTGCTAGCCCCCCCTTCCGTGTCACCTGCTGGCCCACCCCTTCCGTGTGCCAGGCTGGATCAACTGCCCTGCGATGGGTGAGCCCATCGGCCTGCTCATCCCCGCCAAGGCGCCACTATGGTAGGTGACGAGGCGTTCAGGGAGCTGGTGACGGCGCCTCACGTATCTGTGTCACCTGCTCTGCTCCCCCCTTCCCCGAATCCCCGTGCCAGGCTGGATCGACTGCCCTGCCATGGGTGAGGCCATCGGCCTGCTCATCCCTGCCAAGGCGCCCCTGGGCGAGGCGTTCAGAGAGCTGGTGGAGCCGGGCAAGCGGTGGAACGCTGACGTGGCACTCAAGCAGACGAGGAGCATGAAGAAAGACGTAGGTGGCGGGGATGATGATGTGAAGGCAAGGGAGAGGTGCACCGTGCATGTGTGTGGGTAGAGGTGTGCGCAGTCAGTGATGTGTGTGAGGCTGGCAAGAGGTGGAACGCGGACATGGCAGTGAAGCAGACGAGGAGCGTGAAGAAAAACAGTAGGTCACTGAGAGGGGGGCTGAGGTGAGGGGGCAGCCAGGCAAGCGGTGAGCCGCGGATGGATGGTTACGGGGCAGTCCAGGAGCATGGAAAAGGAAGTAGATGGGTGGTCGTTGGTAGTGACGTGAAAGGCAGGGAAGAAGGGGGGGGTTGTACGGGAGCATCGGGACTTGAATTGCCACGAACTGAACTCTAAGTGGCAACACCTGCTCTGTTAGCTCTCCTCTCGTTTCTAGTAGTCTTGCACCGACCAGTGCTTGTTACTTTGTTACTCTGTTGCTGTGTTACACCCTTCTTCGTATTAGACCAATCGGGCCGGTGATTGACTGACCTGATCTCGTTTCTTCGTTTCTCGTTTCTCCACTTGCTGCTACTTTACAACCCCCACTTGCACTCTTTCGCATCTGAGCCCGAATAAGAGCGCAACTCGCTATTGTTCTTCTGTGCGTGCGTGAGCAGGTGGGGCTGGTGATTGACCTCACCAACACCACTCGATACTACAACCCCCAGGATTGGACGAAACACAAAGTGAAGTACCTCAAGGTGAGAATGGGACAGAGTGAGAATCGTGAAGACGAGGTGAAGAGAGCGAGTGAAGCAGGGCGGGAGGCAGGTGGGGGCATGCTGATTGATCTGATCTGATCTGATTCATGCATTGCTGTGCTGTCTACAGCCTCCTCGACTGGGGAAGACATAGCAGGTGAGGCAGTGAGGGAAGACACAGCAGGTGAGGCAGTGAGGGAAGACACAGCAGGTGAGGCAGTGAGGGAAGACACAGCAGGTGAGGCAGTGAGGGAAGACACAGCAGGTGAGGCAGTGAGGGAAGATACAGCAGGTGAGGCAGTGAGGGAAGACACAGCAGGTGAGGCAGTGAGGGAAGACACAGCAGGTGAGGCAGTGAGGGAAGACACAGCATGTGAGGCAGTGAGGGAAGACACAGCATGTGAGGCAGTGAGGGAAGACACAGCAGGTGAGGCAGTGAGGGAAGACACAGCAGGTGAGGCAGTGAGGGAAACACAGCAGGTGAGGCAGTGAGGGAAAACACAGCAGGTGAGGCAGTGAGGGAAAACACAGCAGGTGAGGCAGTGAGGGAAAACACAGCAGGTGAGGCAGTGAGGGAAGACACAGCAGGTGAGGCAGTGAGGGAAGACACAGCAGGTGAGGCAGTGAGGGAAACACAGCAGGTGAGGCAGTGAGGGAAGACACAGCAGGTGAGGCAGTGAGGGAAGACACAGCAGGTGAGGCAGTGAGGGAAAACACAGCAGGTGAGGCAGTGAGGGAAAACACAGCAGGTGAGGCAGTGAGGAAAACACAGCAGGTGAGGCAGTGAGGGAAGACACAGCAGGTGAGGCAGTGAGGGAAGACACAGCAGGTGAGGCAGTGAGGGAAACACAGCAGGTGAGGCAGTGAGGGAAGACACAGCAGGTGAGGCAGTGAGGGAAACACAGCAGGTGAGGCAGTGAGGGAAAACACAGCAGGTGAGGCAGTGAGGGAAGACACAGCAGGTGAGGCAGTGAGGGAAGACACAGCAGGTGAGGCAGTGAGGGAAGACACAGCAGGTGAGGCAGTGAGGGAAGACACAGCAGGTGAGGCAGTGAGGGAAACACAGCAGGTGAGGCAGTGAGGGAAACACAGCAGGTGAGGCAGTGAGGAAGACACAGCAGGTGAGGCAGTGAGGGAAGACACAGCAGGTGAGGCAGTGAGGGAAGATACAGCAGGTGAGGCAGTGAGGGAAGACACAGCAGGTGAGGCAGTGAGGGAAGACACAGCAGGTGAGGCAGTGAGGGAAGACACAGCAGGTGAGGCAGTGAGGGAAGACACAGCAGGTGAGGCAGTGAGGGAAAACACAGCAGGTGAGGCAGTGAGGGAAGACACAGCAGGTGAGGCAGTGAGGGAAAACACAGCAGGTGAGGCACTGAGGGAAGAAGACCCTTTAAGTCAAGCCAAGCCCACCTGTCCTGGCGCGCCCTTGCGATTGTCTCTCTCTGTCACCTCCCGCCCCGCCGCGCCAGAGAGAGACGATCCCGCCCCGCCGCGCTTCCTGCATTACCCACTCTGCGTGAC